GGGGCCTTTTCTGAGGGTGGTGTACCAATGGAGGGGGAAACTGTCGATGAGTTCATTTAGTGCTATCTCGGTAAGGTGACAGTACCGCAGGCAGGCTCGCATTTGTTCCGTGTTCTTCCAAGTCCATGTCTCCTGGTCCCATAAGTCCCCCACTCTCCGTATCCCGTGTTTAACCCATCTCTTCCAGGGAGCGTCCGAACTGCACCGCACCCTCCCTTCGGAGTCCGTTATTAGGCGGTTACCAAAGAGGGGTTGTCTGAATATTTCTTCCCACCTTTCTGGCACAGGACGATCGGGGGGGGGGAGTCTCCTCCAGGTATGTAGAAGGCGCACCCAGTGTTTGTCAGCCGTATCTCCGTTTCTATACTTCCTAGGCACCTTCCAGTACCTGTCCTCTAACCACACCCGAGGGTCGATCGCTGGTAGGGATTTCGGGGCCAGGTCCGCGAGTTGGGCCAAGGCTAGGGGCACCCATGGGGATGAAGGCGAGAAAACAATGTGCTGGATCCAGCGAATTGTGAGGGCGTGGAATTGCGTGGCTGGGTCTACGATTCTCAGACCTCCTCTGTTCTTGGGCTGGATCACCGAGTCCCATGCAACCCGGCTTATCACATGGGCAGTGTTGCTGTCTCCTCTCCAAAGGAAAGCCGCTAGCTGTTGCTTAAGTGTTTTAAGGCCCCCATCACTCATTGGCCATAAGATGGCCTTATACCAGACTGTGGCAAGGATTACGTTGTTAATGACCAGCGCTCTCCCGAAAATTGATGTATGTTTGTTGTTCCATTTTTCAAATTTGGTTCTCGCTGGCCCGGCCAACCATTCATCATTCGTTGTCGGTTTTCCTCTGGCAGTCATTTGTGCCCCCAGCACTCTCAGGGGTCATCGAGGGGGAGCCACGTGATTCGTGGGCTCTCCGGGGGTCTCCCCCCCTGATGGTGCATCCACCAACCTACTGTTTTTTGTCCCCAATTGACAGTCATATCGGACAGCTGACATAACTTATTCATAAGCTGCTGAATCTCCTCCATGTTAGATTCTGTTGCTTCCATCATGATCGTAAGGTCGTCTGCAAACAGGGAACAAATCGGGATCGCATCTTGCAGAATGTTGGCTATCTTGATGCACGAGAAATTCTTATTTTTTCTCAGGTTGACTGATAGTGCTTCCATTATGACCAGAAAGAGGTATGGGGCAATCGGATCCCCTTGCCTCACCGATCGTTGGAGCTCAAAGGGTGGTGCCACTGACCCATTAACCTGGACATAGGTCGTGGCATTTTTGTGTAGGATCTTAACCCAGCGTGGAAACGTGGGGCCGAAGTTCATTTTCTCTAGGCATTTGTCCAAGCAGTCCCAATCCACGTGGTCATAGGCTTTTTCGAAATCGATGAAGATGATGGCAGCATTTGCCCGATTTCGTTGCGCCAATTGGACCACGTCATTAACCAGCAAGATATTTTCTTGTATGTTTCTGCTGGACATGAATCCTGTTTGGGCCGGGTGTATAACGTCTTCCAAAACCTTTGCCATTCTGTTGGCTAGTGCTTTGGAAAGCATTTTGTAGACTACGGTGAGCAGAGTGATTGGCCTATNCGGGTGTATAACGTCTTCCAAAACCTTTGCCATTCTGTTGGCTAGTGCTTTGGAAAGCATTTTGTAGACTACGGTGAGCAGAGTGATTGGCCTATAATTCATGATGTTCATTTTATCTCCTTTTTTATAGAGGAGAGACAACACCCCTTTTCCTACAATTTCCCCCATTTCCCCAGTCTCCCATACGTCTTGATAGTACTCCCACAAATCACTGTTCATGTCAGTCCATGTGGCTTTCCAGAACTCTTTGGGGAACCCATCAATGCCGGTTTTTTTTTCTTCCTTCATTTGGAGAAGTGCAGTCCATACCTCTTCTTTTGTGAGCGGTTCCTCCAATCCGTCTCCCTGCTGAGGAGAAATTGAGCGGTCCATTGGGGAGAGAAATTCTTGTAATTCCCTGATTCTTGCTTCCTCCTGCGGGGATGGGATGTGGGAGGTATACACTTGTTTAAAGAATTTTCTGGTGATTAACGAACAGTGTGCAGTGTCGGTGGCGATAGTGTTGCTATTCTCTGGGTCCAAAAACGCTTCGATAGTCGTCCGTCTAGCTCTAGCGGTGGCTATTGAGAAGAACTGTGTATCCATTGATGCTTCATGTGCTAGATGGGTCATTTTCCCTCGAATTCTAATCCCTTGCCATCTATGTACTGTGAATTGTAGGAGCTGGTATTTCTTGTCTTGGATAGCTGTGATAAGGTGATGCAGTTCCTGAGTGGAAGTAGTAAGCTGTAGCGACTCTACCTGCTGTTCCAGGCTTATAGTTCGTTGTGGGTAGTCATTTCTTGGTATTGTCGTAATGCTGCCTTGGCTTTAGAAAATTATTTGCATTTCTTAGCGAGGAAGACTAGGCCGTTGTTAAACAAGGTTAGACGTGAGTCAAAAAGGTGTCTCTGCTGACGCCAGAAGTTCCATTCGTGTCTGATCATCTGGTGAGAAGGAAGTGTCCTTAAGCAGGGAAGTGTTAAGTTTGTAGAAGCCCAGTCCTTGATCGGGTCTTTTTCTCATAGTTAGCACAATGCCGCAGGTTTTATGGTCCAACCCCGGATGCGGGCTTTGTGGAAGAATCAATGCCCATCGCAAAGCCCTTTCCAAATCGTTGGATAATAGGATAAGATCGATCCTAGATTTGGACAAACGCGCCGGGTCATGATCGCGAATGCATGTGAAGACTCGCGCTTGGGGGTGCAGCCGTCGGAAGGTGTCGAAGACCGAAAGCGATTTGCAGAGGTCGGCTATCATCTGTTCATCCTCTGCCGCCGCGAAGGAGAGTGATTCCTGGGGTTTCCATCTGTCCAAATCTTTGTCGGGGGTGACATTGAAGTCTCCTGCTAAAACCAAGGGGATGCCTTCCGGGACTTGCATGCCGATTCTCCCCAAGAATTCCCTCCTTTCCCCTACTGTATTTGGAGAGTAGATGCAGATGATGCAGAGCAGCTCTAATTCCAGCATGCCCAAGACAGAGGCCCAGCGTCCCTCTTCTTCGTCCACTGCCCAGTGGACAGGTTGAAATCTGGAGTCTGGAGGGACCTAGATTGCTACCCCTGCTGAGCCGGGTCTCGGGGCGTGTGCTCTAATAGTTGTGTGGGGCCAGATTTGCTTATGTGCTCTGTTATGCTCCAGGTTGTCTAACAAATGGATTTCTTGTATGCAGATTACGTCCGGCCATCGCCTGCCTCCAATTCCTGTGAGTTGATCCCAAATAGCTTGTCGCTTTTCATGTTTGCTTGATACCAGGCCATTAACGTTAATGGAGCGCAGGTCTAAGTCAGCCGAATCAACGCATTTCCGCCACGCCAAGTTCCTACAATATAATGTTTCGAGGTCATCCATTTCTTCCTATCCTCACTTTAATGGATACCTGAGCGTGAGATTCCCATCCATTTAGGTGTGTCATAGTGGGTGCCAATGCTTGAGGTCCCATTTATCTAGGTACAATACTTTTGCTCGTGCAATTCGACACAGACATCGACAAACGTCATTTTCGGACTAGAAGTCGCTGACTTTGATCTTGGCACATTGCAGGTCTAAGAGGGCATTATGGCTAAACCAGCCTAGATTAGAAGTTTTATTGGGGTCAAAGAGCAGGTATAAGTCATTCCGCGCTATTTGTTCAGTAGACGAGTCGAACCTCAATCCTGCCCTTGCCCCCGGGGAGTAGTGTTTGGGGATGAAGGTTGACATCTGGTCAAAGATAACGCTGCCTTTCTCCATACGGTCTTTCTCATGGAGCGAGAATTCCCAACCATGCATTGTAACACCCCCGTAGTCCCCCGCCGGGGAGAGACCCAACTCCCATCTTCCTTCCACTTTCCTGAGGGGGAGTACCATCACCCCATTGGTTTTGGAAAGAGGTAGTTCGAAGAGGCCCCGTTCAATGAGCTGCCGGACCTTAAGTCTTCGCGAGGTCATCCCTTCCTCTGTTGTTCCCCTTCCGCCATCCGGCACTGCGCACGAGGTCTCAGGTGAGTGGGGAGCCGAAGCTTCTTCTTGGTTCCCTAAACTCCCTCTGGCACGAATCAGGGGAACGGGCCCCTGGAGCACCCCTTGGTACTCCGGGACTGAACTGGGCCCTGGAACCAACTTGGTCGGACTCCCGTAAGGGCCTTCACAGTTGCCCGTGCAAGCAATCCTACCCTTGAGACAGACACGCTCCTGTGAGCAGAGCAGTGTTTCTCTCTCTCTCTCTCTCTCTCTCTCTCTCTCTCTCTCTCTCTCTCTCTCTCTCTCTCTCTCTCTCTCTCTCTCTCTCTCTCTCTCTCGCCCAATTCTGAGAAAGATGGGACGCGGGAATACTTACTGTGTTTACTGTGTTTCCGGCATACGCTTCTGCCTACCACAGTCATTACAATGGCTGTATTCAGGCCAAATGTCAATCTAGATACAGGGACAATGATCCCACATTCTATTTGAAGAGTGCAGACGGTAGTCTGAAAGGCACCGTCTGAAATGAATAGACAGCCGAGTAAAGATCCGCGCGGTCTGAAATGAATAGACAGCCGAGTAAAGGAAGATCGGTGAACGCTCGTGCCCACCTCACACAATAATAAGAGGTGGGGAAAAAGAAAAAGAAAAAGAAAAAGAAAAAAGCAAAGGCATATGCATGTGCATGCTATCTGTAAGTATGTGGAATCTGTGGCATAGAGCCTCGCGGCACTGGTCACCAAAATGCACAAAAGATTTGAAAAGACCCAACAAATTATGGGTGTGTAGTATCTCAGCATGTTCTTGCAGAAGATTGATTTTCTCATTTTTCACACTGGTGAGTAGTGCGGCGAGGGCCATAACCCCAAGCAAAGCCTTTTGGTCGCTCTTTTGACATCTGTGAGACAGGCCCCCCTACTACTGCTGCTTTTTTTTCGGTGCTTGGAAAAAGGCATGAACCTTGCCATAATGGTGGCCAGGTACTTGGCTTTTCTCAGCATGCGCATAGCAGCGCCACCTTTGGGGCCTGGCAGTAGTGAGTGCATCTGCCATGCACTAGCAAAATAACTTGGAAATGTGCACCTCCACGTTCCCCAGGGGCCCTCTTCCCAGGTTGGCCCCCTTTATCTGCACATGATAATTCTCTGCGTACTTGGTGCAGCTGAGGCGGTTGTCTCGTACCGCTCCCCAGGGGCAGTCCCATTGGATGCTGCAAACAATTTTGTCCCCGTCAAAAAGGTCGATGAGCCCCGCTAAACCCGTCGAAGTAGCAGATCGCCCGCAGGCGCCAACGAAAATTCTTCCCCCCCCCTCGGTCGTCTGCTGCATGATCGAGGCGCCCGACATCTCCTCCTCCATATTTCTGAATTCATAGAACCTGCCCCAGAAACGCCTCAGGTTCCGTATGCTGATCGCCTGGCCCGATGAGATGGAGATAGCAACCCACTGTACATGCGGGGGCTTGAAGCTCTTCACGGCTACTGATTGGACTGCAAAAAAAGTACAAGAGGATCATGATGAAAAGACAACAAACATGGATCCTCTAAGTCATCCCCCCACTGGTTGAACATGCAAATCAGACACTTCCCGAGGCATAGAGCCCAGCCGCTACTACCACATGGATCTTAACCAAAAAAAAAAAAAAAAAAAAAAAGACAACAAACAAGCAATTGATGAATATAGTAATGGTTAACTACAAAGATAATCGGGAAATCATGGAATTCGTTGTAAGGATCTTTGTATTAAACCACCAGTACTTCCTAAAGTCGTGCCCGTTAACGCTACGTGATTTTAGGAAACGTACGGGCCACTACAGGAGCGCCCAAATTCATCCATCTAGAAACGTTTCTACTCTATTTTTTTTTCCGCGGCCGATAGCTGGGCCAAGTACTGGTGGTTTAAGGGCCCAGTGCCCAAGGCATGCAGCGGTTTGGGATGACATTGTGTGGAAGTTGGGGTTTGACAACTATTACTACAGTCTTCCCCCGAATACAACGTACGGTCATTATAGCTGAATTTGGGGCATCTTTCAGTCTAAATTCAGCTATAATGACCGTATGTTGTATTTGGGGGAAAAAGGTAGTGGTTTAGGGTTTAGGGTTTGACCGGTGAAGCCTCGCCCACGGATGGGACCACCACCTTTTGCGAAGGATGCCAGACCCGATTCCTGACTTTTTTTTGGAAATATATAAGGATCTTTCCTTGGAAAAAAAACAAAAAAACAATCGGATTTCCATTGCAGAGCCCGTAATTAGAATGGAATTTGAATTTCGAATTTTTGAGGGGGCAAAAAAAAAAGTGAAAGAAAATACGGTGGAAGAATATGATAGACAGAAAGACGTGCCCACTGCGCTATGTGATGGTGATGGAGCTTGCCACCCACTGGACATGTGAGGACTTGAAGCTGTTAAATAACAAATAAATAAATAAATAAATATAAACACCAGTCCATGGCCCCCTAGGCAGAATTTGATTGTCGATGGGACTGGGTTAATCCTTTCCTTCTGGGAAAGCAATCAATGCTCAGTGCCCATGCTCTATTATCCAGCCACGGATGTACTCAGTCTTCCGATGAACTTTTCTCCGGGGCCCACAGAGGGCGAATAGGATTAAATTCCACGTTGGCGTTGGGATAGTTTAGGGTAATTGATTGACATAGCTTTTCATGACTTTTTGTCCTTTTCGCAACTAGGGATCCACACACGACGGGCTGAAGACAGGCGTCTTTGTTGTGGGAGTTCCGTGGTAGGGGATGGGATTGGCCGGGTTCGGCTACGACGGCCAGCCCCGTTTCCCGGTTTTATTATTATTTTTTTATTTAAAATCCACCCGAGGGTGGGTAGCCTAAACCGTGTGTGTTCACATAGTCCGTAGACTATTCCCGTCCTTATCGAGGGAGATGCTAACCTTCTCTCGGCTCAACGAAGTGTGGTCTTAGCAACTCCGAAAAGAGAGGAGGTTCAGGGAATTTATATATATTTATATATTTAAACTCCGACGAAACAGTTTGTCACAGCCCCTCGTTGTTGTCCTCTTCTCTCTCTCTGCCTACGGTTTACCGGGCAGTTCTGTTTGTGACGATATATATATATATATATATATATATATATATACGGCTTACCTGGCAGTTCTATTTGACAATATATATATATATATATATTTATATACAGGGTCACCAGCCCGTATGTACGGACGTCCCTGGACCGACCGCCGTACGTACGGGCGTTCGGGGTCCCGTTCAGGGTCCGAACCTGAAGGCATTTGGTCCCCGCAAAAACATATTTTGGGGCCTAAACACAAGTTTTTTTTTCTGAATAGTTTTTTGCGAGTTCTCTATGATGTGAGGTACATGCCTATAAATTTTGAAGTCATTTTGCTAAGCCAAGAAAAACCTAAGAATCTCCAAAGATGGCGGTGTCAAAGCGTGCTCGCCCACTGACTATTTTGTTTTTTTTCACTTTTTACTTTGTGCTTTCACTTTATTGCGGGGCCTAAGCAATTTTATTATTTTTGGAATTTTTTTTAATGCGTTTTCTACTATGTGGAGTAGACATCTGTAAATTTTCAGGGCATTTGGCTATTCCAAAAACAAATGAAAAATCGCCAAAGACGGCGGTGTCGAAAACGTGCTCGCTCACGCACTTTCGGCCAAACCTATCCCAACCACGGCCCTAATCAAACACTCATGAGCGAATCCCCAGGTTTCAGCCCCACATCAATCAGGGAGAGAAATTTTAAAACAAGGTGACACAGAGAAAGCAACAACAACAACAACGAAAAAAAAAAAAAAAAAAAAAAAAAAAAAGAGAGAGAAAAAGAAAACACACCTTGAACTTCAGGTTGCTGGAGCAGGCCCATTGCCACAGACTTGGAGAGAAATTCCACGTGTAGTTGTACTGGGAGCAAATTTAAGTCTGAAACAGGCGTTCTACACCCAACCGACTGACGAGGCTGCTCCTTGGCCCAAGGGCGATAAATGCAGATAGATTCTTTTTCAGGTTCGAACCGAGTTGTGGGGAACAGGGCACAGCTTGACGCCAGGAAAAACGGAGGGACTGCAAGAAAATAAGACAATAAAAAAAACGCAATAATATGATTCCATCAATTCAATTCCATGTCGACTTTAGACAGCAAAACAAAAAAACAGGGCAAAGTCCAGCTCACATGGCGCACTATTCTTTCGCCTTTTACTAAAGAATACCGTGGGCTGAGCACACTGAGCAGCTTGCCACAATTTTTCATGGCCCTTCGCTCCGTCGAAGGGCTTTAAAAAAAAAAAAAAAAAAAAAAAAAACAGGGCAAAGCTGCGGGGACTTTCGCGAGGGACGCGGGGCCTGCTTCCGGGCTTTGATTTCAATAAACAGAAGGTAGAGGAAAAGAAACATGTCAAGGAGAAAAACGAAAAAGAAGGAGAGATCACCTGGCCACACGGGCAGCAAGCAAATAGCGAAGAAATAGTGTTCTTAGGGCAAGGGCATGCTCAGGCTACTGTAGCTCTGTCGTAAATGTATCTGGAAAAAGTTCAAAAAACACATTTACGGTTGGACCTGTGTGCATTTGGCCGCCATTCCGTCCAGAAATGAGTCAAAAAAAAAAGTGCTTGTGTGAGTAATACTATGCGCTAATACATGCACTCCCGCTTTTCATCAACGGAACGGGCTGTTGAAGCGGCCCCAACCCCACACAATTCTCAGAAATTTTCAGTACTCTTCAGTATTCTTCTGTCTCTCTCAAAAACATTTCAGCTAATTCCAGCCAAGTTCACTGAAAAAAAAAAAAAAAAAAAAAAAAAAAAAAAAAAAAAAAGCGGCCCCGACCCCCACTTGGAGAAAAAAATAGGTGGGCCAAGTACTGGCGGTTTAATACAAGTCAACGGTGCTCATCAGGAGGCTGAACCCTCAAGAGTCTACAGAATCCCCTAACTGATTACTGTAACACTGTTAAGTGATAATCCACCTTAACCGCGGCTGTGGTTAACCATCAACGACTGCCTGTCGTGCCCGACAACTGATACCCTGAGGTGGGCACCAACCACTGCCCTCAAGGTACCTGTGAACGAGAAGCAAAGCAGACTATCACTCACCCACTGTGACACCAGATGAAAAACTCTACAGACTGTCGGTTCACACCCCATCCCATGAAAGAAAGGAAGGTCTGTCACAGCCAAAAAATACACTCCAGACACGCCGCTGGGACTAGAGGCACAGGCACAGCATGGGCGCGCATAGCGGAGGAGGTTGCAGAGTGACAAGATATTTATAGCTTAGAGGGGAACGAAGAGAGAAATTCAATATGACTCTGTAGGATGGTAGCGGGATCATGGCAGTGGGATGGAAGGACACGTTGTTGATCGCTCAAGGAGAGGTCTAGTGCCTCCACATCAGCACTCCTGCCACTGGATGACAGTTCGAATCCATAGAAAACAAACGAGAAGTCCGCACTCAGGGAATCCTATGCCGGGCCTCAGGAAGGAGCTAAGGTAGTTAGACCACCACTGCTTATGACCCTTCCCCCTTCGTTTGCCGAGCCTAGTACAGCCCGCAACCGCCCCCAAAAAATAAGCAGTGCGTTTTCTTTTTTGGCTGGCACTGGCTGCACTGCCAGCCGTTTAGCTCTGGTAAACCGTGCCGTGCAAGTCACGGCGCGTTAGCAGCGGCCCATGCATGGCGGCATGAGAGAAAAATGGCCGCGAAACGTACTGGTGGTTGAAATTCACAGTGTCGGGGCTGCAATTCCGATTCCGGGCCCGGTCCCCCTCCCTCAGAGGATTGGTATAATCTTATTTTCTATCGGACAATCAGGAAGAACGCGTGGGAGATTGGTGTATCTGATTGGGGGACTGGAGCCTGGGGCGTTGTTAGACACTTCTCAGGGCGTCCTCGGGCTTTGAGGACGAATCCTCGGGGGAATTTTGGAATTTGGCCACGGCGTTCCACCTAATATCCTCGGAGCGTTGGCTTTAGGACTAGTCTTAAGAGCAATGTCGGGAAAAAAAGCAAAAAAGGAAAAAAAAAACAGTTGTTGCTTCAGGCTTTCAGCCAATAGGGTATCGTCAAGATCCAGATTCTTGGCTGTAATGTACCACTCCTGTCCGTGAAACATGGATCCTCGGGCTTCAAGTGACTTCGCGAGGTCCCTTGGAGCAGAGGACTATGGCAAGGACCCCACTGCGGTGCGGATGGAAAAGATGCGTGGCCACGAAAAGCGGGCAAGTCATTTTGGAAAGTCGGAAAGTACTTTTTTCCGGGACCCCATCGCAGAGGACCAAATGCTCTTAGAAAAACCTTTGGAATCAGTTGAGCCAATCGTTGCCTGTTTCCGTTGGCACTCGTTTGTTTTGTTCTTTTTTCCGTTCTTTCTTTTTTTTTCTTTTTTTTGTGGCACTCTTCATCGCTATTGGCTACTGCCTCCCGTCCACGGGACCTGGTTTTGGAAAAGTTCAAGACGGCTCAGCTTTCGGCACAAATTTGCGGGGTCATTTCCTCCGCTTGCCGTTTTCCAGACCGCGGACCATGCAAAAACGTCCACGGGCGATCTTCCAGGACACAAAATGCGGGCTGTGGGGTCCCGGAATACGGTTTTTGGAAGACATTTCGGCCTTTCCATAAGCTTTTCCGCGAGGTGTGGGGTCCCGCAAACACTTCCGCGGCAAAGTTTTTCCCTTCCGCATTCCTGTGGGGTCCTACCCTATTTGGCTGGGAAGCCTTGGTGCCCAAGGATTTGTCCTCGGTGTGTTTTCACATTTTGATTTCGAATTTCATCTCCGAGGACAGGTGTAACGACAACGAAATCCTTGGAATTGCATCCCCAAAGAGTGTCTAACGACGCCCCTGGTGCCTTAAAAGATAAAAGTAAAAAGGGAAAACTGGGGCGCAGTCAAGGTTTTCAGTTTAAAATGTGTTTCAGTTATGTTTTGGCCCAAAAGGAGGAAAATCGTGAATGTATCCAACCCAGCTTTAGGGTTGGGTGGGGATGTGTTGCATTCGAGGGACGCCTGAAGTGGATTTAGAACGAAAAACGTGACTGCGGTGTCTCTGCGCCGTGGTTACCCCAAAAAAAGGACAATCACCCCTCACCCTTCGCCGAGGGATGACCTGACCAGACAGTTGCAGGCAGCCACAATAAGCAGGATCATATCCCATTCAGCCCTGGTGGAGGCATATTTGAATGAGCCCTGTCCTCTGGGTACTTCAGGCACTACCGTCTTCACCCAAATAGAACGTCTGGTAATTATAGTTGTATTTGGGGCAACTGTCAGTCCAGATGCAGCTATAACGAGCGGGGGTGAAGACGGGCATGTACAATTTTTTCTACAAGCCCCCTGGGTAGATGCTCTACAAGCCCCATGGGTAGATGGGTGAGTACTACGAGCCTTCAGGCATGGCCAATGGGCCTACGCGGTAATGAATCTGGCACAGAGACAGTGCCGTATTCTTAGTCTGGTAAAAAGAGACCCAAGGAGGTGGAGTGACGCCACCCGAGCTTCTTCTTCTTCTTCTTCTTCTTCTTTCTTCTTTCTACCCCCCCCCCCCMCCCCCCMCCCCCCACCCCCTCCCCTCCTTTTTTCTTAACAATGTCATCAGTTGCGGGCTAATGATCTTTAGATGATTTCCAAAATTAATCCACTTTTGGTGCATTTATACTTTACAAAGACTTGTGATCCACTGACCTACTTGGCGGAATTTCCCCAAAGTATGGGAGGTCCCGCCTGCTTTGAAATTCCTCCAAAAATTTCCTTTCACCTTCTATTCTCCAGCTTCGACTGACAGTGTGTGTGGCGGCTGCTTTTGCGTTGAACTTCCTCAAAAGGGAGACACCTAAACAATGCCTGTTTTCCCAATAATTTATTAAAAGGTCCGGCCGAACTTGGCCATTCTATCTGGTAGTGCAGCGGGCCTCTATTTACCTTGGCCTATAGTTTTGGCTATTTTGGCTATAATTTTGGCTTTGTTTCTGTTCGGGCTATTTTGGCTATTTTGGCTATAATTTTGGCTTTGTGGCTGTTCGGCCTGTGGGACCAGCCCGTACGTAGTCCGGTCCAGTTGTTCCACTGAGGGTATACACCAGCTGCACGGTGCAGTGTGTGAGTCGGTCGGCGGTGATGTTGTGTCATTCATCCTTCTCCATATCCACCTCCTTCCTCCTCCTTTTCCATCTCGGCGGTGCGGGATCTGCCACCCAGACAGTTCCCCTTGCAGGTAGTGCCCCTGAGATGGTGGCGTTGGGGCTGCATAATGCTCTAAAGAGGAACGGAATCTGTGGGCTGTGGAGCCGCACAGATTATTATGAACTCTGCACCAAAGTATAGTCTGTTGAGCACAACCCCTAGTATAGCACTCTGGTAGGTTCTCCCCCCCAAACACACCTGGTCCATCTCAGTGTTCATTATGAGCGCATCCGAGTCTAGCCAGTAGGGCATCTAGATGCACTCGACTTATGGGCGCATCTAGCCAGTAACGCAGCTAGATGCACTCGACTTCGCTTGAAGTTGCTTCCCTCCTCTATGATCCTTAGTCCAATAGTACTCCAGGTTCTTCCCCATGAACACAACACCTGTCCTGCAGTTCGCAGCCAGGAGCCGGCGCTTGTGTGGTTTCCATTTCCGTCGTTTCATTTCTTTCTATTTTTGGTAAGGTCGTGCAGTACAACTTTGCTAGGGCGGGTTCGTTTGGGGTCTCCGACAGCAGAAAATAGGGTCTGGTCACAGTCGTCCCTAAGACCGGTCGTAGGGCAGGTTATCTTGGGAGATGCGCTAGCGCTAGCGCCCCGGCGCCTGGCGCCCGGTTCCCCAGGCTCGACCAGCGCTTGAGGAGGTACGCTCCTCGGACGCTGGGCCTGTGCGCGCGGCCAGCATACGCACGTGGCTCCTTGATGTGGCGTCTGCTGTTGGCAACGTGGCTGTCCATGATGCGCGGACAGGGGTACC